TGGAGCCGCCGCCGCCCCGCGGGAGCAGGTGAGCACGGCGGGGAAGGTGGCGCGGGGGGGATGCTGCGGAGGGCAGGAAAAGGAAAGCGGCGAGGAAAAACCTGGCGGTGGGGAAAGCGCAAAAAAATCCCCACCCCAACATCACACCAGCCAAAAAAAAAAAAAAAAAAAAAAAAAAAAAAAAAAAAAAAAAAAAAAGCGTCGCGGTGCATTTTTTGCAGATTGAGATGATCGTCTTAAAAACGCTGCCCGCAGAGCCGGGAGTCGCCCCTCTGGCGCTGACCCAGCCCGGGAGGGAAGGATTTGGAGATTTAACTAATTATTTTACACACGTGCCGTGTACCCCCAGCCCTCGCTCCCCCCATGTCACATTGTAATTGTACGGAGCCGCGGCTTGCAGGGCTGGGAACTAGCGTGGATGCTGGAGCTCAGTTTGGTGTAGCAGGCGGGGAGGGGAGTTTTTACTAAACGTGGGGAGGAATTTACCACAGCAATAATAAGTTTTTCCGTGGTCGCCCGATTAGTTAAAAATTAAGTACGCGCTGTGCGTTGGCAGACAGTCCTAAGCAATGAACTGGAGCAATCCTAAGCCATCATAGTTCATAATTATTTTCTTCTTTTCCTAGAGAATTCTAAATACTGAGGTATTGCCTCCACATAGAGCTCTCAGCATTGCAGAGTGTTCTCTGGTTAATGAATGTTTGTAAAGGGATTTTCATTCCCACTGAGCATCAGTGGGTACATCCAGAGCTCAGGGAGTCAGCTCACCAGTGCCTTTTCTTTTGCAAAGAATTTCTGGCAGAATTCAGCAGCCCTGCTGTGTTGACGTAGTGCACAGGATGACATTCCTTGCTGATACAGTTGCTCAGGTGAAGCGTGCTGCTGGAGTTTGTGATTTTGTGCATGCAACTCGAGAAAGAGATAAGAAAAGCATTCAGCAGCCTCTCTGTGAGAAACAGAACTGATCCTTTCAGGACTTTTTCATGCCCCTTAATGGACCCTGGAGGGTTGGCTTCATTTTAGTAATTTGTTTTCAGTCTAGTACATAAATATATTTATTTCAGTAATAGATGCTATATATAGACCATGTCTTTGAACAGAATTTGCAAACAGCCCTACATCAAGGTATAAATACTTCCCATGCAAACTCTCAGATTTGCAGATATTCTGCCATCCATTCTGGATGGATGAATCAGAATATGGGACAGTAGAAACAGTGTAAGGCTTAGTCTTGAAAAATATTATTTGCAAATTCCTGCCTTTAGTTATTAATGGGCTACCTGTAGTCAGTGAGATGATTTACAGCATAAAGTTCAGCAGATATCCATGTCTTTGCAGTACCAGGATCTACATGGGCCGGTTTATAGGCAGTAATAGTGACAGAATTTTCTGTGTGACAGAAAACCGTGGCTTGAGTGCCAAATGTCTCTTAAATTTATGAAGATTAAAGATTAAAGAAATTGAAAAAGCATTTCAGACTTCTATATGCTTGTGAAGTAATTTTTAAATGAAAAAATGAAGAGTAAAGACACTGGCTGGTACTTCAAAAATTATTTATGTTCCCTCATAAATGGACGTAGAAGTATCAGCTGAATTACTGGGAGAAAAGGAGTCTGTTGGAAACAAAAATAAATACTTGTGTCATAGCCAGGCTTTACATAACTGACTTAAACTCATGTGACACAGAATGATTTTTTTTCCTCAGAAAAGTTTAAGTGGAACACAGTTGGACAAAAGGCATTGTATAACTTGGTTTATGTTTTGCTGTTGAAAAATATTCCATTTTGAAGAAAATTTCACATTTATATCAACATATAATAATTTCAGAGAAGTTACTTAAAGGTCAAATTTCTTCTAAGCTAATATTTCTTTTGATGCTCCAGATATTGATGTTTGTAGGTATCAACTTTTTTCCCTGTCATACAATATTTTCCTGATTTTAAGAAGAGAAATTACACCTAGAAAGGCCATGGGATTAAAATATTTTCCAAATAGAGAACTTTAGTAGTATTTATATGAAATTTCAGCTCCCCCAGGGAGCCTTTCCATGCTGATGAGGAAAATCGTATTTTTCAAAGGCCTTTCTTGTCTATAAAATCGAGGGCTTAGAAATAACAAGTTATGCAAAAAGGTATCACTCATGCTGTAATGCACTTAAAATGAAATAATCTTTGAGTGAAGGTCTGGTGAGTTATGAAAACCAAGGTTCTCTTGTAGAGACATTGACTACAGCACCACTAGGCCTTCACACTGCTCAGTCTACTGCAGTTGCCATTGGAAGAAGCTGTTGGTGACAGACCCTTCACAGAGGGTTGCTCCTCAACCTTTCAGTAACAACTTAATGCAGTTTTTCTGTGTCTAGGTCTAAATCTGAACCCTGATAGGATTAGTGGTGTATCTTCAGGAGCCTTTGTCAGCTGCATAAGCACCCAATTACTATTAGAGAGTACTTAAGACAGTTTTGAGCACTAGCCTCAAAAACATATGAGATAACATTTTCTTTTTTGAGAAAGTAAATATAAATACATGACTTCCTAGAACTAAAACTTTTTTTTCAAAAAAAAGGTGCTTCAGTCAGAATTTATTGTTTTGTAAGGTAAAAAAAGAAAGGCATACTGACTGATTTCATTCAGGTGGTCATCTACTGAGGTAACTTAGTACCTAGTACTGTCTACTACAAGATCTTTTCTTATAGAACTGCATTTGGTGAGTATGTTGAACACCGAGTACATTTGTATATGAATATTTTAAGATAGGAAATGATATGTTCAGTTGTAATAAACATGATAATCAAGAGTAGTTTATAAAATGTATCAAGAGAAACCACTTAGTAGTTCTGTAATTACTGTAATTGATTCTACAACATTTTATATCTCATATTGAGATCAAAGGCAACCATTGGCAACCTCCATTTGAGATTCTACTTGATAATGTGCTACTTATCTTTCTGTCTCTGAGATTTCAGCAGAAGATATGTTTTGAAGTAATTGACTGTCTTAAGTCAGTTTGTAAATCATTCTAAAAAGGGAGGTTTTGTTTATTACACCAAGTACCATGTAAGCACCAGCAGTGATGAGCTCTCTGACTGAAAAAAAAAAGAACGACGCTACATAAATTAAAACTGATCCAACTAAAAATAGTACTCTGAATGCAAACCCAGAGTGTGAGGAAACAGAAGAAATTCTAAAAATCATAATTCCAGAACTGTAGAATGACATTCAGGAATCAAATATTCCTGTGAATATCCCTTGGCCTAATGAATAAAGACATATGGAGAGGATACTTAGAATGATAACAGTACTTGTAAAAGACCACCTTGACTGATTCGTCAGAGAAGATGAAAAACACTAAATATTTAATGCTTGTTTAACTGCTGGAAAATGAGGAGACATGATAATTGTATACAAATGTTTGAGATGTACAGCTACCAAGGAGAAAAAAATAGCTGCATTTAAAGCTTAATAGGTAGATTGGCCAGAGGTTTTGAGATACTGATGCAGGTCACAGAGTATTTTCTGACAGGTGCTTAACTGACTTTGATTTTTAAGACCCCATTGGTGGAGGCTCCGTGTCCTACCCAATCCACAGTAATTTCCAGTGCTTTTCTGTTCATTTTCTTTTGTTTAAAGTGCCCTATCTGTATCTTCCTTGCTATAGCATAAGCTGCTGTCTTTTGTCTACCCTTCAGTTTTGGTAAACAGGTATTTCCCTCCACTTTGCAGCAGCCCTTCTTGTTATGAGATGCTCCTCTCTCATTCTGGACCAACACTCCGAAACAAAAATTTCTTTCCCCAAGATTTACCTGATTTCTGATCTCTTAGATATGTACAATATCTCATAATTGTTCTCTCCTATTTTATTCTTGCTGGAAGTTTAACATAATGCTCAACTGGATATGCCAGCAGTGTCGAATGTAGGAGAAGGAAAATCTTATGTAACTTGCAGGTATCTGCCCTATTTCTGTGTTCCGATCCTGATTTTTTTTTTTTAATTTTCTTATATTTTTGGCAACACTATATTGCTAAAATCATCAAAACAACATAGTGTTATTAAATCTGTGAATGTTATACAGCCCAGATCCACTTCTGCAGAGCTGCTACCCCTCATCCCATCCTGCCTCCTTCAGTCTTTCTTCGTGCAGTTGGTTATTCATATTGAAAAAGTAATGCTTTGCTTTTGTCTTTTGTGATCTGTTTAAACATTTGATTTCTGATACCATTAACCAGCTCATTTGAACCCTGATGATTTGGTCTGTCTGCAAGTGTCATACAAAGAAATTATTGAGGAGTGTCCAAAGCATATTTCTGGACCAGTATGCTCAGGATATCCTTCCAGTGTGAGAGTTAATTTTGATAACTACACTCTAAATATCGTCTTCGAAATTGTGCCAGCTGTACCATTCCACTGCAATCTCTAAAATCTAAAACAACTGTCCCTAATTTTTATTTTTTTTACTAGAATATGATGAGACGAGGGATTGTACAAGTTGCCCACAGCTTCTCAAAACTAATTTCTTGTGGCTCTGAGACTGTCTAATCCAAGACCGGTGAATCAGTTCCCTACATACTGTTTATTAGGCTAGTTGTTCAGAAAACCGTGAAATTAAAAGCCCCAATCTATTCTCTCCCTAAATTCTTATCCCTTTGTCATTGGTGTATTGACACCTGGTGGCAATTAATATCAATAGTGAAGAAAAACCTAAATACTTTGCTCTTCTCAGCACTACTTATTATGACACTTTCCTTCCTTCTTAGTAGGCTAAATTTTTCCTAGTCCTCAGTTGTCCTCTGGTGTCTGTACAGAGTGTTTCTGTGCAGGATCTGAAGATCCACATCTGTGCACGTCCAGCATCACGGGTTTTTGACTGTGTGGGACTTCAGGAGGAAGGGACTCTGCACTGGGAGGTGATTTATGAGTTTTGATGTGGTAGTAAAGATGAACAGACATGTAAAGGGACTTTGAAGCATGAGTATGTTCGTCCTAGCAGGTTTTTTTAATGGCCAAGGGTCCATGTTTGTGTGTTTTCAT